ACAGTTCTTTTGTCATTTGAAATAACTCTTCCCTCAGCAAGACACACATCCTTCAACTTACCCAGATGGTCTCCTCCTCCAAGCTAGAATAATGTATTTAAATTTACCCAATGGTTTTCATGAGTCAGATTTCCCATAACTGGCTGGTTTTTAACCGTCCTCTGCTCCACCTGTTCAGACATCACAGCAACCCTCTCCCTGGCTCCTCAGTGCAGGAGAGGTTCATGCAGCAGCTCCAGAGAAGCTTCACAGTCACAAAACCCACGGTCTGCAGCTTGGTCTGTGGCAGTTCTGGAGAGGAACCGTGGCTTTTAGAATCTGCCTCAAAGTTTTGTTTCTTCTGGGGAGGAAAGGTACATCCTGAAAGCAGCCATGTAGACCTCCTGCTCAGATGGAAAAGCACAGTTTTATTCCACCACAAAACTCTGTCCCCTGAATATTTCTCATCTAACTACAAATGGAATCCAACAGAAAATTCATCCATCAACCACAAGCTCAGAAAACTCACTGTCCCCATAAACACATCATTTTCTGGTTTTCACTACAGAAGAGAAATGCAAATCCTTGTATACAGAGGTTCCATCCTCTGAGTGGATTGCATGAGGACAACAGGCAGGGGTTTTAAATAACACATAAGGGATCAAGGTACAGCTGTTCCTTGAGATCTGAGCTCCTGCACCACACAGGTCCTTTTGAAAATGTCACTGGGGCCTGCCAACAGGACTCCTACTCAAACAAAGATATTTTTGGACAAAAAAAAATGTCCCAAAGTCCTACTGGCATTCAATAATTCCTTTGAAACTGCTGGCAGGAATGTGAGGTAGCTCATCATGGCCTGGAGCAGCTGAAAGTCAAATGCAGGGAAAGAAGGTGGGAGAGAGGATGGTGAGATGAAGCTGAGAGAGGAAGGGGTGAAAGGAAGAGGGATAAAAAAAAGCTGGTTATTGCTTGGATGAGCTGTTAGTTTGGGTTTAAATGCAATTTGAAGTTTGAGAAGGCAGAAGTTAATTAAACTACATGATATTGTCCTGCCATCATTTTCCATAGGCTATTTCCAGCTGCCACAGAAATCACAAACCATTTAAAACCATAACTCTGTCCTAGCCCAGACCCCACAGGGCACCAAATGCTCAAACCTCAGGCAAGAACCTGGCTCCAGAAAAGGACAAATGATGGCAAATAAAGCCTTGCTGCAGTAGCCCAGCAGCTCTGATGATGTGGCACAGTTTACTCCAGCCAGGGTGGGCTGGATCAGCTTAGAGGTAAACAAGGTAAATGTCTAGATGCAGCAAAAAAAATGAATGAGAGATGTTGCATGTCAGAAAAGTGATCCCCTTGCCATTAAAGGCAAAACAGGAAGGGAAGATCAGCAACTAAGTACAGATTAAATTAGCTCTTCAACCTTCTGCACAATCAGACAAAAAACATTATAATATATAAATATAAAAACATTATAAATATAAGGCAGCAGTTCTGGTTGCAAAATGTTGGCAAAATTATCATACATCACTCCCCAGCTCAAGCAGCAAAGCTCTACTGGAATATGTCAAAATGGAGCTGGTGAGGAGCTTTCCAGGCCTTTTATTTTAAAATGTAAGGAATATTTTAGGATTAAACACAGAGCACATGATCTCTCAATCTGTAATGGTGACAACACGCCCTTACATCCTCTGACCTTAGAAAGACATTTTAGAAATGTCTTTTAGAAATTTTCTTCTTAAAAAGAAAGAGAAAATTGTGAGGCTGCCTAATGCTCATCCATCCTTCAGGACCTTCAGAGGTTCAGCTTTGCCCCTTCCACCAGGCACCTACTGAACCTGCTCAGGCTGTGTCCATGGAAAACCTGGAGTCTGCAGCCCAGAGGACAGGGAGAGATGGATGGTGCTGGCACACAGCCACTTCCAGGGAGAGAGGCAGGATCAGCCTGCCATGGACAGACAAATGAAGCCTTCAGGACTGGCATGCCATTACCTCGTTTGCCAGACTCCTTACAGACGAATGCTGTGTTTCCAGGATTCTGCCCCTGGCCACAGGGACAGAGCTGGCATCCGGGCTCTCAGTGCCTGTCTGATGTCAGAGGATGCAGAGGCATGGTGGTGCTGTGCTTGGGAGAGAGGCCATTAATATGGCACTCTTTTAATTCCAAAATATTCTTCACAGCTTAAAATAAGGTGCTGGGAAGGAAGCTCCCATTGGCCTGAAAGCAGAGCTCAGCAGGGCTCAGGGGATGTGCAGCCTCAGGAGGTCGGGGAGTTTGTTCAGAGCAGAGTGGCAGTGATGGATGTGGCCAGAACACACAGCTCTTCATTAAACAGTGATGAGTTAATGAGCTGCTGTGGCTTTTTCCTGCAGAACAACCTGAAAGTGCTATTTGGACAGGCAAGGATATGCTTTCAAACTTCTCGTATTTAAATGTATTTTTCCTATTTTCTTTTTTTTTTTTTACATTTGGGATTTTTTTTATTAGAGTTTTATTCTTATAAAGTTTCTACAGCATTAAGATGCTTCCATATCCATCCTCATTGATTTCCAGTCATACCATGAAGCCCCAGCAGATATACTAACTAAAATTCTGGTGAATATCAAGAATTCCAGAACTTCCTGTGGGGGAAAAAGTAGCAAGCAAGAAATCAGCTTTAAAATAAAATTAAATGAGAAGATGAAAGGAAAGAAAATCCAGGTAGTAGTGATTCATCTGATTTCATCCAAACTCCCCCCAAATGAGAGTAGTCTTCAAAAGTCAAACACAAAGCAGTATTTCATGTTCTCTGCATTAACCTTTAGAGTTCAAAATGCTCATCTGCTCCTCTGTCCCCTCGCAGTGGCGTTTGCAGATGACACAAACATTTTCCTCTGCTCTGTGCTCTCCCTAATGCAGCCCAGCCTGTGCACGCCCTGCAACAATTTCCTCTGGAGCGAGTTCAAGCCCAATTTGCTCTGGCTGGTGTCTGTCTGCCATCACACGTGTCAGCCCAGCTGGGATGGGCAGCGAGGAGAAAAAGGGTCACCCTCTACGTACAGTGTGTTCTCCTGGAGGCAGGAGAGAGCAGGAGGAAACACAAATTTCCATCTACCTGACAGGAATTGAAAGCTTTTTCCCCTTTTCCTCTGCTGTCAGTGTGGGCTGGTGCCCCTGGGAGCAGGCAGATGTGCTCAGGGCAGGTGGAAATGAGCCAGACCCACTGCAGGGCTGTGGGAGTTGGTGCTGCTGAGAGGTAACTCCAGAAGTTGGGATGTTTTTCCTTGGAGGGAGGATCCCTCGCCAGCCTTTGGGTGCTGGCAGTGCCCTGACTCACCAAGGAGTGCTAGGCTCTGAGGTGAGGCCTGGCTCAGAGAATCACACAGTGGTTTGGGTTGGAAGAGACCCCAGAGACCTCATTCCACCCTCTGCCATGGCAGGGACACCTTCCACTGTCCCAGACTTCTCCAAACCCTGTCCATCCTGGCCTTGGGCACTGCCAGGGATCCAGGGGCAGCCACAGCTGCTCTGGGCACCCTGTGCCAGGGCCCCAGCACCCTGACAGGGAACAATTTCTTCCCAATATCCCATCTAAATCTACTCTTTTCCAGTCTAAAGCTACTCCCCCTTGTCCTGTCACTCCATGCCCTTGACAGGAGCCCTCCCTCAGCTCTCCTGGAGCCCCTTCAGGTACCAAAGGGCCACAATAAGGTCACCCCAGGGCCTTTTCTTCTCCAGGCCGAATGTCCAACCCCTCTCAGGATCCATCCCTTCCTCACAGCCTTTCCTCACTGTGCTGTGTCTGCTGCCCACAGAAGGAACCAGCTCTGTCCCATCCTACATCCCAAGACTGGTTTGGGAGGGAGACAGAAATCGGCTGCAGAGGGGACAGAAGCCAGATCATCCATCTTTATTGGAAAAGGACCTACTCTTACTGCAGATAGAGCCACAAGGATTTTCTTTCTGATCCTTGAGGTTCATTTCCTTACTGTTTCTGTATCTGACACCAGTCAAAAGGGATTGTGGGAAAAATATAAATGATACTTTTAGCGTTTTATAAATGGAGCTGTATCATCCCAGTGATTCAGTCAGAGCAGAAGACTATGGGATAGTAAGGAAAAAAAACAGGACTGGGAGATTTATGTCCCATTAAGGTGAGGCAGATGGGGAGAAAGTGGGCACAGGCAAAGTCAAATAATGTGATGGGGAACCAGAATTAAAATGTAGGAAAGGTAAAAATCAAATCAAGACAGACTAAAAGTTTTTCAGTGAGAAGTTTCACTCCCCCAAGAGAAGGGGCCTATTCTTCAAAAGGAAATGTTCAGAGACACTCCCAGTTTAATTGGAATTGTTATTATTTTTTAGTTTTCACTAAGTAACCAATCCAAAAAAGTGGATTTTTCTCAACCCCAGTAAGGAAATAAAGTTGCAGTACGCTTATTTCCATTGAAAACATAGGTGAAAACAAAGGTTTATGTACAATTCTCTCATCAATAAAATTTAAATTCTCCCATCAGGAAAATCTAAAACAAAAAATTTTTAAGCTTGAAAATAAAAAAGAAGATTTAAGGAAAAACAAGCATTCTCAAGGAAGGCAAGCTAGAAGCTAAGGGAAGTAAACCTACAGAAAGTTTTAAATGCAACTTCCTTGACCATCTCTCCTTATCTGTTAAAGGTTTTATCTCTCTCTACAAACCCTGTCTTAGTGTAGCATTTAACCCCTACTGGCCACACATAATAGCTAAAGTTATTTCAGAGCAGGAGAGGGGTCTGTGTCAGAGCCAGAGCACCAGGCTGGCACAGGGATACACCTCAGCTGCCTCAGGAAAGGGGACCCGTTACTCCATCCTTCTCCTCTGAGAACTTTACTTTGTGTGCCTCTGTGTTCCCCAAGCACCTCATCCCTCATCTCTCCTTCTTGCATCCTTCCTCTTGCTCTGTGAAAAGTTTTCAAAGTCACTAAAATAGGAAAATACAGACAAACCCCACGTGGCACAAATTTAGTAACGTGGAGAAGAGGTTTTTTTGTTTTTCCATGCAGGCTGTTCCAGCACAGGAAAGAATTGCTGCAAACTGCACATTTTGCAGCATGTGTCAGTGTACAGAGCCTCAGCACAGATTTTAACAGCAGCTATGAGGAAGCTGATCTTTAGCAACCAGGATGAAGTAATGAAGCAATGAAGACACTAAACTCTTTTACTGTGCAGCCAAACCAAATGTCTTTTGGTCCTTCATGCATGAGTCTTCTAAATGTAAACTTTTCACAGTAAGAGAAAGAAATTCATCCTCAGACTTTAGTGAGAAGAATGACTCAGATAGCCCCAGGCAGCAAAGATCTGAGTGGATAAAGAACAGTTTTTGACTGCCTTTGGGAAAGTATCTGCTGATTTTTGTTCTTGTGCAATATTGCTTTAAGCCCACACAGAGGTTAATGGCAGATCACTGGGAAGATGTTATTGTGTTGTTTCTTTTCATGATGCTTCCTCCCCTTTTCCAGAGGTGTAGGGCCAAACAAGAGATGGACTGGCAGTGGAAACCTGATCCCCACTCCTTAAGCAGAGGTCAGCCCAGCCCTGGGTCTGAGCTTGGCACTGGGTCCTCTCTTTCTCTGAGAATGAACTGGAGCATTGCTTTTGTTAACAGGGTCTGTTCCAATGCAGTTTTCAAGAGCATGAGAATAGAAGCTGAACATGTGCCCACTCCTCATGACTAACCCAGGAACCCAGGGCATTTGTTGGGAATCTGGTGTAGAAAAGGCAGGGGGGAAAATACTTTGAGAATTTCCATTATTCGAGTATGTCAGCAGTTCCCATCTCTGCAATGAGCAGAGCTCCTCAGAGGAGTTCCTGTCTGCTCTGGGCCTGACAGCAGCAAATATCTCCAATTCCAAGTGAAAATAGCCTGTGGAGAAGACATTCAGTGAAAACAGGTGAAAATGACAGTGACAAATAGAAAGACTGAAGAACCACAGGGTAGAATCCTGTCCTGAGGGAGCAACAATGCATTCCCACTGGTTTCCATAGATTCCTGTGAGCTCTCTCATTAGTGAAATATCCAGACTGGCACAGGAGGACCTGGACTGGAGGATTTTGTTCCTATTGTCCATCATGATGGTAAGAGATCAGGTAAGGTGCCCCATCCTGCCAGCAGCACTGCTCTCATGTGGAAATGGCTTCAGCCTCTTGACCTCCACTGGCTCTGGGATAAGGAATAGGGCCTCTCCCTCTCCTGCTTGGACAGGATTTCTGCCATTTTTCTCAGAATGAGGAGTGGAGCATCACAAACATGGTGGATTTTGATGAATGCATCCTAGCAGAAGGATGAGATGGGATGGAGAGCACAACCTCCCTCTGCTGGGCATGAAAATGTGCCTGCACTCCCCTCTGGCACATCCCTAATGCCCACCATCCACAGCAATCCCAGGGGGAAATGAGATCACCTCATCTGATCAACTGAGCTCCTGCTTAGCCATGGGAGATGGGGTCCCCAGAGCTTCCTTCCAGCTCTGTAAATCACTCATCCCAAGCAGAGCTTGGCTGGAAGGTGCCTCATCCCTGCCAAGGCTCCCAGCCCTGCCCTTCTCTCCCAAAGCCATTTATTTGGCAAGGGCAGAGAGGGGTCCCAGCAAAGCCCTGACTAATGCCTGGCTAATTCCCAGCAGAGAGGCAAAGCAGCTCCCAGGGAAACAGAGCCTTCTGCTTTCCTGACCCGGGCTGTGACAGCTGAAGAGACAGCTTGCTCTTACCAGTAAAAATAAACACTTTCCTCATCTGAGATCTGAGAGGGCAGCTCTCCTCCCGATTTCCATCCGCAGGGCCAGCAGTGCCAGGGCACTGAGTACACCAAGGACCTGCCACAAAGCACTGCAGGGATTAACCCGGAGGGAAAAGCTGCTGTGACCCTTGTCCTACCCTCTTTAGGTGTTAAATGCTGAAGTAATTGCTCAGTTTTCATTGTCGCTCAGCGAAAAACTCACCTTCACTTTCCCCAGGTAGGTGTTGCTTACTTTGGGGTTGACTTTACTGCAACATTCAAGTTCAGAGGTGTGGAACAGCTGCCAAATTCGACAGAATTCAGGAGAAGCTGCTCTTCATTCCAGCCTACAAAGAAGGTTCTGAAAAGCAGCAAATGGCAAAAATGGCATTGCTTAATAAGTGGAAAAAACAGGACATGTGAGCTATTTACAACAAAAAAGCATCAGGGCTCAATGAAATTGAGGAAATATCTATTAAAATGAAGAATACTTCAAATTATAATTATTTTCCTTCTCAAATGTGTATGTTTTAATTAGTTATTTTTTATGTTTTATAGTTCCTACATTATCAGGTCATTTGTAAATTCCAACATCTTTGCATGCATTTTAAGCCACATTTGTTCTTCTACTGACAATTAATACTTTATTCAATTAATATTTTTACATTTACCAGAGAGATATAAAGTCTTTCATCTTTACCAAAAAAAATAAAAATAAAAATCCTTTTAATCATCTCCAATGTTGTGCTGCAGGCAATATTATTTTGTAGGTGTACTTGGAAGTTGGGAAACAATTACACAGAGCTGGAACTGCCAACACTTTCTTCATTTGGAGGAAATTCCAGTATTTTAGTGCCTTGTCTTTAGGAGGAGGGATGTTGCACAGGAATTGTACATTTTGCCCATTAAAAATTATTTTTCTGTTTAATAGAAATATCAAATCTCTTGTCCCATGGGGTGCACAGGAGCACTAAAGGACCTGCCTCCATCACCCAATCCTAGAGGACAATTTCCCCCTTGGAGTAGCGGCTGGGACAGGCAGCACTCACTGAAGAGCTCCTGAAACAAAAATAATAAGGAAGCTGGTGTGAACCTCACTCTTTCTGGGCTTTTCCCTTCTGCAAGGGTTGGTTCAAGGAGCTCTGCAGGCTCCAGGGTGTGAGCAGAGTGTCTCTGCAGTGAAACTTTGCAAAGCAGCGCAGCAAAATCTCACCGAGTCTGAACTGCACAAGGAATTCATGTCAGCAAGGAACAGAAGCACCTGAGAGCACAAACTGCACAGTAAATGGCCCATGGCTTCCTGAAAAAAAAAATTAAAAAAAAAAAAAAAAAGGAAAGTTCAAAAAGTAAAATATCTCAAGGAAGGAAACTATTTTAACCATATAAATGACAAGCATATTTTAAAGAAAGGGGTTTGACTTAGCAGAAGTAGTTTGAGCCAGGAGTACTTTGCTGGTACAGAGGGAACCCAGGATCCAACTTTGCTTTCATGATGCTGTGCCAACACAGCCCATTATGCAAGAGAGGACTTTTAAATCCTTATTTCAAAAAATAGGTCAGACTGAGCTCAAAGACTTCCTTGTAGAAATGCAGCTCAGTGTGGATTTGAGTGACTACCGTGGCTCAGAGCCAGGCAGCAACTTCAGAGATGTTGCTGAGAAATGTCCTTCAACCTTCTTTTGCTTCAGTCTTCCTTCTTCAGAGAAGGAGGGTAAAGCAACAAGACTGAGAGGTCTCCATAAAGGAAAAAATCACAGTTTTTTGCCATGGAAAAGCTACATCCAGCAGCTCGTGTCTGCTGGTGCTGCTGCTGGACCACAAATTGCCTTGAGGGAAGCAGAGGGAGTTGCTGTCTGTAGGTGGGATGAGCAGAGAGCTGAAGCCCTGTCTGTTGCAGACATGAATCAAAAAATTCATTTCAAACACAGGTCAGGATTGACTGGGGTGGGGGGATGTAGTGGCAAAATCTTTTATCCATCCTAATTTCATGGCTGGACCTGTGTAGGAGCAAGGACAACGATTCTGAAAGGCATCATCACAAAAGTGTTTCATTATTTTGCTGCATTTCTTTCAGAAGGCTTAAAGCTTGACATATTCAATCAATTTTGTTTCTCCTGTTACATTGTGGGTTAGTTAATTGCAGAAGCAAAAAAAGGGTGCCTGAATTATTATGTACAGAGCTTTGGAAAACTACAAAAAAGCAGAAGCATAGACAAGTCACCCAGCTCCTCACTAATGGCCTTCAGCAACAATGAAACGAGACTAACTGTAGTAAAAATGCAAATAAAAAGCAATGCATGAATTCAGGCCTCTGTCTTCATTAGAGAATCAATGTGAAATGCATTAATTCCGGCAGCCAAAAGTAAGAAAAAAGGGGGATAAATACCAGTCTGTCATATCTGTAGCCCTGGCAGCAATAAAATATTGCCTAATTCCTACAAATTCCTAACCACATATATGGTAATTTATCCTTCCCATCAGCCCAGGTAGCCTGTGTCAACAGTTCAGAGAACAAGGCTCCAGGAGAAAAAAAGAAAATTTCACCTGGACAGGAGGAGCCTTTCTTGAAATCTCTTCCACGATGAGAGTGTGAAATTGCCAAGCCCCATGGAGCTGAACTTGCACAAAATTTCAACCAGACCTTCTGAGCAGTGCAGAAATCTCCACCGTGTGTTGCCAGCTGGTAAAATACCTGTCCTGCTGCAAGGAGGGCTCCAGCTCCTGTTCTCTGGGCTTTTCAGTCGTGCTGAGGAGCAAAACCCATCAGCAGCTGCATGAGAAATCCCCAAGGGTAAGACCCAGACCCCAAACTATTCCAGATAAAATGTAAGATAAATTCAACAGTGATAGCAGCTGCTTTTGGGGAATCCATTACACAGCCATCAGCTCGTGACAACTCTTGGCTTTTAAAGGCTGAGCCAGTGACACAGAGGAGAGAGATCTTTGTGCAGCTGCTGAACCTCAGGGCCCCTTGGTGGGGAAGCAGCTCTGATGAAGCTGTGAGATTGTGCAAATCAGAATAAGGGCTGAGAAAAGGGACCTCAAACCTGTGCAAACCCCACTTAGGGCTGAGAAAATGGACTTCAAACCTGTGCAAACCCCACTTAGGGCTGAGAAAATGGACCTCAGACCTGTGCAAAGCTTTTACTCATTGCCTGTGCATGGGTATGGGGGTGAATCAAACTTCTACACTGCTCTCTGCTAATTAATATAACTCCAGATAAAACACACTGGGGAGAGACTGACAGTGTCAGAGATTTTGTGTGCTCTCCTGCCCTGATAGACATCGTAGCACTTTACTGCTGTTTTACATGTCCAAATATTTGCCTGGATAAATAGACCTAGAACAGTTTGAGTAAGCTGCACTTTGGATGAGTCACATCATGAAGAAATAGTCTGGAAAAGGTCTACAGCACTATTACAGGCAGAAAAATGAAAGAAGTCAGCACTACATTTATGTGTCAAGGGTAGAAATATCCAGACTAGGTTTGCCAAAGGAGGCCTTTTCCCAAGCCTAATATTTATGAAAACTTGTTTCTTTAAACAGTCAATTGGATTGGAGTGCCTTTTTAAATAATAAAATACATACTTCATTCTTTCTTTGTCTGGACACAGAACATCCCATGTGAAGGAAAACAAATTGAGTAGTTTGAGCAGAAACCTGCCTGGCATGCTGGGAACACCCTTGAGAACATGACATAAATATTTGAAAATAAGATTTTATACTCTTCTGTAATTCTGCTTGTAGCACAAGGAAGCAGGGAACCACAATACACACACTGTAAGAGAAGGCTCAGGTTATAATTTAGTGTCTCTCAGGGTGCAGTGAGAAGCCTCACACACCTCAGAGAACCGAGTACAGATTTAGCAGGTTATGTAGATCAGTTGCAGACAGAATTAAGGAAGCAAAAAGTGATATTCCCACCATTAAATATAAGTTGGAGTCTTAATAAAGCACAAAGCGAGGGGAATGAGAAGCTTTGAAATTGAAGTTATTATGCTCTGCACCAACTACCAAAAATTACATGCTAATGCTTACATTCTCTTGCTTTTATTCCTCTCCACTTCAGCAAAAACCCACTCCCCCCAGGCTCTTCCTGCAGGTACAGCTGCTCCTGTCTCACAGATTGGATACCACTCTCTGCTCAGACACCAGGAAACATCCTCCCCAAAACTCCCCAAAACTCCCCAAACCCAACAGCTTCACATGGATCGAGATGTGCACCCAAAATCACATCACAGCAAAGGTTCAATCACATCAGTAGCAATAAGTATGGAAATGGTGTTTTATGAAGGAAAGAACCTGTAGAGAGAGACCTCAAAACACCCAAAACCAGCCCCTCCAAGCACCATTTATAGGGGAACACGAGATCAAGATGAAAACTAGAAAGCTGCAAGATCACAGGCAATTATGGGTGACTTTCTTGGCAATCAGGACTTGTAAATCAAGTCCACCTCCTGCCCTGGTGGCTGATTGCCAGGAACAAGTTAATTAACCATCACTAACAAATGTGCTTGTATGGTCTAGCCTAGCCTTTAACCAGCTGGCTCCACCTCTCCCTGGCAGCTTCCCCTGACTGACCTCCTGTAATTGCCCATGGGCCAAATTCATCCTTGGGGAAAGTCTTTTTATCTTTAGCTTGCACCAAGAATTAATTTCACCCTGAAAATATGCTCTGGCATTTTCCTCATAAACAAAGGGAAAGAATTTTTTTTTTTCTTTTTATTTACTCTTTTTTTTTTTAACCTTCCCTCAGCATCATTGAGTTTCCCATCTTACTCAACCCACCTTCACTTGCAGCCAGTTCCTTTTATTTCAGCTGATTTTTGCAAGCATTTCTTTTATTTTTACATGATGCTTATTGAACTTTTTCCAGTCCATGTGTCTTATTCTAAAACTACAATTCACGAAATAGCCTAATTCTCCAAATGGTGCTGAACTGAGTGGAATAATTACCTTACTTGTTTTAGGCCTCTGCTGGAATCTAGAATTACACACTTGGAAAATTATGATTGTTTTATCTTCTTTTTTTTTTTTTTCTCTTTTCTTCAGTTTCATAAGATGTGTGAAAAACAGGTTTTTATAAAGGACATAAACCCAGCCAAAACTATAATTGCTGCAGACGGAAAGGAATTCAGAGAAAAGATGATTTTATGATTAAGGCATTGGAGTAGAAACTCAGAAATTTAGATTCTTTTTGTGGCCCTGCCAAAACCTCTTTATATAACCTTTGCTGAGTTAATCCCTCTGTTCCTCAAATAAAACACTCTGGCGCTTCCCTGCTTTACGATAGCTGCTGCGTAAACACATTCATTCACATTTGTGAGATGTTCAAACACACCAATAATCAGAGAAGCACGATGGCTGGGATGGTTGGAATCATCTGGCTGTATTTAATCATCTCTTGTCAGGAGTGAATGCAGCTTTAATCACAGGCACATGGGATGTGGCAGCACCGCTGCTGAGAAACAAGCGCCGGACTAAAAGAAAGAAAGACAGGGCAAAAATTGTGTTCCTAATAAAAAATAGTTTGCAAATCAGGCCAGCAAATACACAAATGAATCCAAGCATCTCCCCATTCCAGTTCCCCCAAAACAGGGACAGGCTCAAGTCTCTCACTAAAAAAAACCCATCAAAGCATCAATTCACGTTCCACTGGAGCTGAGGGAAGTGAAAAGGAACTACAGCAGCTCCCAACTTCTATCTTGAGCCCAAGGAAAAGCACACAAAAGAAAGGCTGCTAAAGATTTACCACAGTTTTAAACCACCCTTAGGTACAGGATTCCAGGGGAGCATTAGCTGCATGTTTCCAGGACAGGACGAGGATGCTGAGCCCTCAGAGTGAATTTCATTTAAAAACCCTGGGGTTGGGCAATGGCTGAAGTGAAAAGCAGGAATTTCAAGCCCTGCAAGGCTGTGGGGTCACTGCAGGTACGGCACTGCGGCCACTTCGGTGCCCTGCTGGCACCTGTGGCCATGGACTAAGGGCCCAAGAAGGTTTTCATCTGCTGCTCCACTTTGAACCATGCTCACATCCCACACTTGTACAGAAACTGCTGCCACATCCTCCCACCCCTTTTTCCTGGAGGAAAAGGAAAACTCAGGGGTGTTTCCCCTCTCCTCTCTTCCTCCTCGAGCACCAAAGGCTTGGAAGGTTTCTGTGTCAACCGATCCCCCCTTCCTTTTTCATTGCTTTAATAAATTAAACCGAGCAACAATAGAGATGAGAGAAAGCAGGACAATGTGGTAAATGTAGCAGAAAGAAATTTGAATTGTAATGAGGAGAGCTAATCAGGAAAAGAATGGACTATGGAAAAAAGCACTAATGAGTTTCTAAATAAATTCAAAAGGTTAATATTGTTCTATCTAACGAATACGAGAAGAATCCTAATGTGAAATTAAAGGCCTCACTCCAGTGCCCCTTCAGCCATATGTTAAAGCTGTAACTCCCACTCTATTTACCCCTCTGTCCATCACATCCATCCTCTCCTGGTACATCTCATGGATTGCTGCTGGAAATGGGACCTTTCAGGGCAGCCAGGTCTCTAGATCTCTTTTTTTTTCTGTACATCAAATGCTTGAGCCAAAGTCACTAAGTCAATGGACAGACTCTCTTTGACTTGCATCAAGATTATTGTGACTCGTTAATGTCAGTATCAACAAAACAGTGATCAAAATGCACTTTTCAAACCATGAGAAGTGTGTGGGTGTTTGTGAAGTGATGGATTTGGTGGGATTTAACACACTTGTATTCTCTTTTATTACCACATGGATTTCCAGGGTGAGCAAAAAGCTAATGCAGGTTAATGCAGAGGAAAGAGCAGGTGAAAAAAAAGTTTGTAAATATAAAGGAGTTGTAATATTTCTTGTTTTAATTTATAATTAAATTAATCTTTAATTCTAAATCAAATAAATTAATCGTTAATCTTGTTTTAATTTATATGATGCCAGTAGTTCAAAACACAGAACTAATACTTTCCGTATATAATCAAAAGTCAGACTCTTTTATGTGTTCTATTATAAAACATGGTAAAACTATTTCAGCCAAAATTTTGTGTGAGCCCCTTTCAAGAATTGAAGAATTTCAAGAACTGGAAAAAAAATCCAATTCCCAGGAAAATAATAGACTCAGAGGCTTTCCATAAGAACAGAAGATCCGCTCAACTGATTTTTTGCTGGAAGGAAGGAAATAGCGCCATTGTAATATTTTACTCTGAATATAAAATACCAGAATGACATCATACTTTGGGGAGAACTCTGAGCACATTTGTGTGCGTGGCCATCCATCTTCTGCTCTGCAAGCAAAGCCAACAGGGGAGAGCTGGGGGCAGCTGTCCATCTGTCTGCCCCTGTTCCCCCTGGCAGGAGATGAGTTAGGTGCCATCCCAGAGCTGTGGAACCTCGTTACAATCCCGCTCTGCCCGCGCTGATAAATCTGTCTGCTCATCCTGGGGGCACGGGCTGACTCAGAGCCCGTCAGCTCCGCTCAGGACACGGCTCTGCTCCTGTGCCCTGCCCTGCAGCCACGGCCCCAAAGGGCAGAGCTGCAGCTGCTCACACCTGGCCATCAGAGCATCCCTTCACACCTGTCACTGGAAATGGGATAGGAAGATGAGCACCGTTTGTATTCCGGGCGTGGGGGTTATTCTAAAGTTAAAGCCACACTCCCGTGCCAGGACTGACCATGTTATGTATTATTCACGGCAACCTTGCAAAATGCTGCTCAGCCACTCACCTGCCATGAATAATTTTGTTTGACAGGCAGGTTAAATACTTTAGCTTCCTGATCCTCCTCCTCACAAGGAAGGAGGGCAGCCGTGGGCTGCCCTGAGAGGCATCGAGGCAAGGATGTTTAAAAGAGGCTTCAGTGGAGTTCAAACTTGCTAGGCAAAGAGTGAATAAAAAAAATAAAAATCCTTGGACCCAAGAGACTGGAGTGGGAAATGCACAGAGACAGAGGCTTGACAGTGAAGACACGTAAACTCTTTGTGAGTGACCCTGTGAATGTCAGCAGGAGACGTGTCCTTCCCCCTGGGGCAGTTATGGAGAGCTCACCAGAGCTCCTCAGCACGCCCAGCTCCAGCCACAAGGGAAATAAGATGGGAGGCAGAGGAGCAGCTCGTGCTCCTGAGCCCAAGGATGTCTCACCCACTGAATGTCTCTGGCACTACTCTCTCTGCAAAAGCTTAAATGCAAAAAGACTTTCTGAGACAAAAGGCGCTGCGAGGAAATTGCTAAGTGTGAATAAACAAGACAGTTGCATAGCTCATCATAACCCTAATGATGCTCCCTAAATCATGCAGGCCCATCACCTAGATCTATTGGCCACATTAGCAGACTGCTGAGTGTGGGAAATATGGAGAGGATCATTTTTAAAGGGTTTTGCCTGCAATACTCATTGGGAACCCTTTGAGATGGAGTCTAAAGCAGATGGTGAAATGGGAAAATTATTCACGTTAATTCTTTAGCAACCTAAAATAAATTTAGAGAATAATGAAATAATGAAAGCCCCATTCAGGCACATTTTTGCTTTTGCAGCAGTCATCAAAGTCCTCACAGGGAAGACCCAGCACTGCTGCATTCCACACACAAAGCTGCTGTGTTAATTGGTTCAAAGACAGAAGAGCAGTAATATCCTGGAAAAAAAAAAAATAAGGTCATCCCCTTTCATTAGCTATTGTTCAATGGCCTGATGAAAGAACAAACAAGCTGAAACAGCAAATAAACCTCACAGTGCTGAACACAGATCCCTTTTAAGCTTCCTTCACATGTGTCCTACAGAAAAACATCTCTTGCTTTTCTTCTCATCCTCTCTTCAAACTCTTACAACGGGAAAACAATCCCAGTCTTCCATTTTACAGACAAGGAAACTGAGTCATTGCTTTCATCCAGAGGGTGAACATCAAAGTGAGGACTACAGCCCAGCAAATCCACCCTCAAGTTTTCCTGCTCATTTTGCAGGAGCACCAGCTCCTTGGGTGAGCTGGTGAATCAAACCCCAAAGTCTCCCCAGCTGAACACAGTGCCCCCAGCCACATGACATGACTGGCAGCCTGGGAGGTTTTCCTTCACCCAGATGATCCAGAGGATTTGAGGAACATGTCCAGGGGAAATTTACTCCCACAGCAAGAGGTGATACAAAATATTTTTTCCCGTCTTAAACACAAGAAGTAAATAAAAGCATCACAGAATTCATAAGATTTCTGCGTGAACACAAAGCTCTGTGAAACTGCTGAAAGCAAATGAGGAAGAATGTAAATGTTTCATACTAAAAATGCTAAAGTTCACTCCTAAAATCACTAACACCAGAGTGATCCAGTATCAAGATATAATATTTTCTAAATGGAAATCTCTGGCTCAGTTTTTGCTCCTGACACTTTACAGCCCTGTTGCTTTCTGGCTATTTTATTTCCTATT